TTCAAAGACCGTAAGCGGACAGTCTAAGTCCAGCCGGCCTGCCTTGGACAACTTCGCATCGACTAGGTCCCATGATAGATCCGTCAGTTGCTCCTGGCCTGTTACCAATTCGTTTGAACTACGGCGAGAGGTGAGAATGTCATGAAAATAGGCTTCGACGTACTGACACATTTCTGAGGATGACCTTGCGGGGGGCGCGTTCACATCGAATGGGTGTGACAACATTTTTATTTTCTGCTGTCGAGAGTTGGGAAGAAGGCGCTTGAAAGTAGCCTTCGTCAACCTGTCGCCTACCACAATCTTTTTAACCGAAAAAAATTCTTTTCATCTATCCTTTTTGGCTTCCTGAATCTTGTCCCACTTCTGCATACGCTTCACCCTTTCCATACCCCACCAGCGTGTTTTCGTTGCTCGAGCCGGGAGGACTGCCATCCTATCTTCCGCTTCATTTACTGCTTTCATGACTGCAGATTCCTCTTTGTTTGTTTCCAGGGCCAAGATCTTTGAAAATAAACTCAACATGTCTGACATAAAGTATCTGTCTGCGTCCCACCACCCATCCTCTGTATGGAAGAGGTGTCTGTGCTTCTTCCAAGCAGGAATGAGTTTTGAGATCCACTCAGAAACCCCAGGGTCCCTGATGGTATCTTCGTTCAGGCGAAATAGTCCCTTGCCCCTTTGGGGTCTTTCCCCTCACAAAAATTGAATGGTGATGGGGTTGTGGTCCGAAATTGGGTGGGGAGTGGTGGTGACCCATATTTCCTTACTAGTTAGAAAATAATCAAGATGTCTGGCTGCAATACTGCGACCCGATATCAACTGAGAGGAATACCAGGTATAACCTGGGTTAGACGGGTTCATCTGACGAAAGGAGTCTACCAACTCCAGTTCTAACGTCGGATCCATCAATAGTTCCAAATCACTACCCACATGTCCTGTGACAAACAACGGATTCAGATCGTCGAGCTCGACGTTCCAGTCTCCTACTAGAACTACATGCTTCACATCCGACAACACATCCATCAACATTTCGAAAAAAACATGTTTTTCCCTCTTTTCTGCTGGTGCATAAATAGTGGCTATTGCCCATTCCATCCCTCCCGATTGTAGTTTAATCCATGCCCATTTTCCCCAGATGTCGAAATCGTGGTCAATAATAATTCCATCGAAATTTCTATGCATAAGAATGGCTACCCCTCCTCTGGTGTCTACCGCTGACGCCCACACTTGGGGCCCGTCCCACCAGGCGCCGAGGTCCAAATTTTTTTCTTCGTTTAGTTTAGTTTCTTGTAAGCATAGGAATTGAACTTGCTTCTCATGTAACCACGATTTAATCCGACTGCGCTTTCTCCTACCTCCTGCATCCCCCAATCCCCTTACATTCCAGGAGGCAACCTTCACACTAAGCATTACCGTTGTTGACTGCCGATCGTGATTGGATTCGGATTGATGGAGCAAAAGAGAGAGTCCGTAAGGGGTTGTTGCATGAACCACCTACTCCCATGTCCCATGAGAAAGGCACGGAAGGCATCAGATGCTAGTGACCTGATCCTTGGGATTTTAGAAGGGAGCTTGCCCAGGCCCGATGCATCAATACCTTCAAATACCGTTATTTTCTCCAAATTCGGGTTATCTTCGTGAGAGAACCATTCCAGAGGGATGAGGGTTAAGCCTTGTCTTACCAAGCTGATTAAGGCGTCTTGAGAGATTCGGGCATCCATAAGCGGTGCATAGAGCTTCGCCCTCACCCCCACCTTGTCGATGAAAAATTTAGGGGTGGGTATGTCCGGTATACATCTAACCGCTATGTCATGCCCGAAGATACGACGGGTAAGATTGACCGTCTCCTGAGGCATATGAGGTCCTGGAATCGTCAAGGAAGGTAAGATTTTTACTGTCGGGGACGTAGTCCAGGTCAAAACGAATGTGCCCTCCTGCGCCGCCATGCATAGGATCGGGAGCAAATATTTTGACCAAGATTGATCCTGACTTTTGGTCAGCTGTCTCCGATCCCTTTTCATGGACGACTTCCTGATCTCCGAATGTTGTTTCCTCCCACCTTTTGTTCGTCCTTGCTGTGAGGCTGCTTCCGAGACTTTCGTATTGTAACCATCTGCTCCCTCTTGGATCCGCAACTCTTGCATGTCTTCACTCAATCTTCTGCTTAGCTTGGTTGGTGTCGTCCCCACATTCCTTGTTGGGCGAGAGGGACCTGACCCCTCCTTGCCTCTCACATCTTGTCCTCCCACCGGTAGATCTTGCGATCCTCTCCTGGGGCTGGGTGATCGGTCGAAACATCTGTTTCTATGATCTTTCGGACCCATTACTCCTCCAGGGACGCTTGGGTGAGTTCCTACCCCCCGGGGGAGAGACCATCTCCCTTCCGTTGGGGAGAAGATAGGATTATGGAAGGTCGATAAGTCCGGGTCTCCTCCTTGAGCTTTCGTGTCTGCTCGCTCCTTCGCTCGTAGTTCTCCCTTGTACACAGGTGATTTAGCTCTACCCTGGGTAGATTTTGTCGATGATGTACTTGAGCAGTACGAGCGTTCTGCTCTTGGGTCTTCACTTCGTCTTTGGTTTTGACTCCCCGAGGGGCTCCCCTCTCGACTGCCATTTGGGTTTTTTTCCCGGCCTCTTCCTCGATCGCTTCCCCAGCCTCCACCTCGGTTGCCACCTGATCCTCGACCTCCCTCCAGACCAAATCTTCTTCCGTGGTCCCTTCCATTGTTCACTCGACCATCTCCTCCCCCACTGCCTTGTCCACCGTGCGAAGACCTACTTGAGGAGGATGCTGATCCGGACGGAGTTGGCTGGCGTCGTTGGCCTCTTGTGCATTGGTCTTCTGAGTGAAAGAACTTCCTGCATTTGCTACACCATGGCGTTAGAGCATTAGCCAGTTGGACTTCGATGACTTGACCTTGGAACGTAGTAAAGCATAGTGACTCTTTCAGTCTTGGCAGGCTTCAACGACAATACCAAGGCGCACGTTTATAAGCTAAGGCTTCCTTGCATCCTTTTCCGATGGGCAGACCTTCAACACCGGACCGATGACCTTCTCTGCTGCATCTTCTAAGTAGCAGTATGCATCGATTGGCACATCGATGCACCGCACCCAAAAGTAATTTCTGTTCTCCTCTTCCTTCGCTTCCTGGATTTTCATTTTGGTCATCCAAGGTTTGAAGAGGATTGAGTGCCATCTTTCCTGCAACACCACTCGAACTGACTCATCCCCGATCATCCATTCGGCCACCTTTTTGTCTTTGGCGATGTAGGACAGTACGTTACTAGATTCAATGCACACTCTCCCTCGTGTTAAGGAGGGATCGAACCTGGCTTCACCCATCCAGATATCCTCGTGGGGCCTTACCACCTCTTCCTTCATCTTTTTGGGAAGGTTCTTAGAACCTTCTTGGAAAATCATGGTAACTGTCCTCTCCTTTAACCAGTTTACCTTGATCTCATCGAGAGATGGGTTCAAGGTGAAATGAACTTTATTGCCTTTTTCCCTCATCTCCCCGATATCCCACCCCAGCGGCATAATTCCGGCGCCAAAAACTGGGCCAACATCTCTTGGACTCTCTCTTCTTCCGCCCAGTAGTTGGTAAACGCTGGTGGGGGGGAACGGATTCCCACCCGTGCTTCCTCATCGTCTTCTTCCCGATGTTGATCTGGTTGATTGGCGTCGTCTCCATCTGCTCCTATCATACCTACATCGCCTCCATGTGGCTGTGCTGCTGATCCTCCATCTTGTCCAGCGAGATCTTCCTCGACGTCCATGCCGTTCGATTGCGTCAATGACTGCTGGATAGTTGGAGAACCCTAAAATTATCTAGTGACGAGTTACTTAGCTTACCCCGGAGGCAAGACTAGTGAATGATTGAGCTTATGTTTGAGTATCGGCCAGCCAACCGCTTAGCCTAATTAGTCCATGCGACTGTATGAGAACGGTGCTTTGTTGCTATGTTGCATATGTGATGGGCTAGTCCACGTGGGCATCGAGGAGAGACATGGCTACTCTTCGTGCACCGCGCATCCTACCGAGCCACGAGTCTGCGGGTGGTAGGTGACTTGACCGGTCAACTCGACCGGTAGCGGCGGAACCGAGCGCTGTTTGCACCGTGAACCGGCGCCCCCATTCCCGAGTAGAATCACGCCCGCCGTGCTTTCCAGGACGGCAGTGGGGTCTACAAAACACGTACGCATCTTTCCAAGCCACCTCCCGGCGGCCTGGTGGGGTCCGAAATCGACTTGCCAATAGTTTTCCAACCGCCGGCCAGTGGGGTCCAGGCCTTAGCTATGTGTGTGCTAAGCTAAGCGTCCCGTTGAGTAGCTTTGTCGGCTGCCTGCCGGCCGCAACTATGGCAGTGCTGTGAGGTTTTGGGGCCTCGATGCGCTACCCACACGAAATGCAGAATGGACAAATGTCTCTCACCCAAAATGTAGGCAGGTGCGCTCGCCAAAGTTTTTTTTCGTTTTCACATCTGGTGAGTGACGCGGCAATGTGCGGTGCACCTCGAGGCAGCGCAGGCGGGGGGTGTCAAGGCGGGCTATAAGGGCATCGTTCCACTAGGCGACGAATGTGGAACTGGCGAATGCACTGTTTCGTAGATCACGGCATTATACGTTCGCCATTTTCGCAACGACTACCGGGTGGCGAGTGGCGGGACGAGGGACCGAAAAGTCAAGGCGGGCTTTCGGCCGGGACCCGCTGGGTTGGGTTCGAAGTCGGTGGGTTTGTACTGTTGTCATGTCAATCGGTCGACTTGTCTCAACAATTGCAGGGAGAGATTCGTAGCGGCGGCAGCGGCGGACGTGTGACGGCTGAACTAACGAACTTCGTGCCGCCCACCGGCGCGTCACCCCCTCCCTCTCTCTTTGTGCGGCGCTGAACGTGCCGCACGGTAGCTAGCCGACAGCTCGACAGCGAGCCGGCCGCCTGCTCTCGTTCGATCCGAGTCTGTCTAGGGGTGTGCGCTACCGTAGTTCTCGAGGACGGGCTACGGGTGATGCCTTTAGCCATAGCCAGTGATCGTGCTGGGAAGAGCTAGGTAGAGGAGGCTTGCGGCCATAGCCAGTGAGCGTGGAGTGGAGAGAAACGAGAGATACGTACTTCGTGGTTGGTTTCAGGGGTCGTTGTTTGTCAGGAACGCAAACGGGTTTTGTGTTCCCCAAGTTCCGCAAGGGTTGGCGGGGGCGGCGGCGGGTACAAGTGCGCAAGGGCAAGAACTACCGGAGTTGAGCCCCGGACTGGTGAGATATCTGACCACGGGTTGGCTGGCGGCTGAGGGTGATATAATAGGGAAGAAGAGCTAAGGGGCCTGGTGTTTCCCAGTCGGCGGCGGCCGACATTGCCGGTGTCGAAGTCGTCGAACGCAGCAGGCGTACAGATCAGACTGCTGCGTGCCAGCACCTCAAGCAGGGGGGAAACACGAGATCATTAGGCAGACGGCTGTAATTGCGCGCTTGCTCCCTCGCTTGCGCGCTGCTTCTGGTTGTCTTTCCCCTTCTCCGCTCTCTTCTTCGCGTGGTTGCTCGCTTGGTATCAGTATCTGGCATGGGATGTGTGTGATTTCACGAGTCTTGTGTGACCGTGGCGAAGGACGCTAAAGGGAGGGAGGCGCACGTGCGCCGGTGATGCAGGAGAACTGTTCTTTTCCGATCTCGAGTCGTTAACGGTCGGTCGGGACGGACCGACGGTTGGGATTGACAGGGAGGGGAGACAAGGAAGCGATCGAGCGTGTCGGACACGTGGCTTGCCAAGAAGAAGACCAGGGGTTTGGAATTGCGCGGAAGAAGTAGGGAGTCTCACACGGGAGTTGTGAAGGGCAGGGAGCTTTCGCGGTGTCGTTGTACGGTCACCGACCCAGTTGTACGATCGAAGGGCAGGGGCTTCGTGTTTGATTTGGCTGCCTGCTGCCAGCCGCTTCTCTTGCAGCACTCAAAGCCTAATCGAAGCTTCTTTGGCAAATCAGTCAAAATGCCTCTCGGTCAGCGCAGCGGCGATAACAGCGAGTCAAGATACTGCGGAACTGAGGTGGCATACAACGATGAAATCGAAAACACGTTGACGGCGAATCTCACTGGCGGATTTGACTTCATTGTCGCTCCTCTGGTATGACACGTGTACTCTATTGATCGGATCCATCAGTTCCCTGGTCTCTTGGCTTGCTCGGTTTGTTTGATTGCTTGCCAGCATGAGTGGTTGATGCATTTGTCAATTCCCCGTCTCTTGGCTTGCTCGTCATGCTTGATTGCTTGCCCGCATGGGTGATTGATAGATTGGTTGGTTGGCTGCTTGTTTGATTGGTTGCTTGGTTGATTTTTCGATTGTATGGCTGCTTGAGTGCTTGGGTGCTCCATTGGTTAATTGACTGACTGACTGAGAGATTGTTTCCTCATGTATGCCAGAGTGTCAAAATTCATACCCGCTTCAGCCTAACTTAAGCATTGAACTTACTTATTTAGACAAACAAAAGAGTTTGTTATTATTCATGGACAGTAGTTTATATACTCAGACGTATATCGACGAATCTCGTACGAAACGCTCTGTCACAGCTCAGCGCTTCTTGTCCTTCTCCTCTCTCTTTTTGCCTGTGGCTCACCAGGCAGTTCTCAATGATTATTGTACATACATATACCGCACGCCTATCTGAGTGTGTACTTAACGTCATCCTGTTTTCTTCCGTTTTTTTTCCATTTTGGCATGTTTTTTTGGTTCCTCTCACGGACCGGGATTGAAGTACTCATTGGCCATGTCGGGAGAGGATGATCTATCAGATACTGACGAAGCGTAGGTGGAAGGAGAGGGAAAGGTAGGGGGTTTTAGGAGGTGAGTTCGAGTTATATGGAAGGGGGATGGCTAAAAGGGGGGGGGGGGGGGGGGGGTAAAGAAAAAGGGACGGCACACGGGTCTCTCAGTTGGCCTTTGGGTTATTGATCTGTTCATTAGACAGATTATACGGTCTCTGTCTGTGTCTGAAGAGAGCTCCTTAGACGAGATGGAGGTCGAGGAGGATTTCGGAGGAGGGCGGAATGCAAGGGTGCAAGGGAGATGTGAGGGGAGGGCGGTGCCAGAGATAGGGAATATATTTCTCTCCACTGTCGATATCTAATGAAGAAGGAATGGGTGCGCGATGCCGGAAGAGGTAAATGTAGAACAGAGAAAAAGGATTGTAGAGTAGGGGTTTGAGAATCTAGCGAGAGAGAATCTGGTGAAGGTTCACGGTTGGGGGGGGGGAGGAGGAAAATGATCGTGTAAGGAACAAGATACAGGGTTGGCGGTGGACTTAATTGAGGATGTTTTTGTCCTATTAGGCGTTACGCTTCTGTGTCATTGCAAACGTTGGGTCTTATGGGCAAAAACCTATTAATGCATAGCGTGTCGGTGGACCTAATTGAGGAGGTTTTGCCTGTGGACGCATGTATATATGCCATTTGATCATCGGATGTCAAACTCGCTATTGTGCGTATTCAAGGAAGGTTGCTTTTTTGTTTTCTCTCAGACAAATCTTTGTTTTGAGAATCTGCAAATTGACGTGTTTGAGAGCATATTCACACTAGGACTTTCCTGGGTGTACATGACTGCTTTTCCGACGCGGCCTGGATGCAGCTGACGGCAATTAGGTCCACAGAGAAGTGCAAAACGTCCTAGTGTGAGTATGCTCTGCTTTTCAGTGAGCAGATGGTATCCGCGTCCTTAGACAAGCGTTGGATGCCCTTAGTGCAGTAAAAAGCCCGCTCTACGCAAACCCTCCTGTGACATCCATCGAGTCCGAAAACATTTCCATTTCGGCAAATGTTGCAAACGTCGTCTGTTTTAGTGAGGGCATATCCACACCTGTGCTCTTTCAGTCAAATTATGGCTTCACCTACTGTCAGATATGAACAGGAAAGCCTTACTAGTGTAGATATGATGCCTAAGCCTTTGGAAACGTTTCCGTTGCAGGGCAATCCTTCTCCGATCTGGTGCTTGGTCCCTGTCGTATGCCGCTATTACTTTTGTGATGGCCTCAACTATCCTACGTCAGGAAGCGTTAATCAGAAAAATAGGTCGATTTTGAAAGTAAGGAAAAGAGCAGGGGCAGTTTGGTCGCCGGCAAAGACGATGCAGAGGTGTGTGTGAGCGTGCGCGCGCGATGTGTGTTTGTCTGTGAGTGTGTGTGTGTCTGTGTGTTTGTCTGTGAGTGTGTGCGCGTGTGTGTGTGTGTGTGTGTGCGTGCGTGCGTGCGTGTGTGCGTGCGTGCGTGTGTGCGTGCGTGCGTGTGTGTGTGCGTGCGTGTGTGTGTGCAAGTGTGTGTGTGTGTGTGTGTGTGTGTGTGTGTGTGTGTGTGTGTGTGTGTGTGTGTGTGTGTGTGTGTGAATATCTACAGGTGTTTTTTCTGTGTGCGCGGGTGTTGCACGCGTGAATGCGTACAGGTTTTTGCAATTGAGGATTGCAACGATTAGCTAGAGATGGTCATTTTGTGAGATATGCATTGTTTTACCTGGAGTATTATGTGAATATTTGACATAGGACCAGTTTCTCCCCAGTTCTTCCGCCCTGTCAAGTGAAAGGAGGTAACGGCTATATAAATATTTGACCTCTCAACGTGTTGATCACCAAGTGGGGTTTTCCAAATCTGACGACCGAATTTAATTACCGCGTTGAATATCGAACTAGGACCAACGTGTCTTAATTGACACGTATAATGACCAATGTGGTCCTTCATCAAGCAAGCTAAATTGACTGGTGAAGTTATCGTCAAGTCGGAACTTAACGAGTTAAAGATCAATGGCTTAAGTGTCGGAGACTGTCTAGGGTTTCCACTCATTTCTTCCCTTCTCGAATATTCTCAATAATCTAAATCCATCAGTGAAATGCAGTGAGAGATTCCTAAAGATATTTCGCTTAGCTGCAAGGTATAACGTGATTAATAAACCTTTCTGATTAGCATCAAGGCTGTCATAGTAATCGCGTTGCCCGAAGGACTTCCGATTTGCATGGCTGCTTTTTTTCCTTGTATGCATGCTTCGTTCTCGCTCACTCATATTCAATATTACCTGGTAAACAGGAAAACAATGACGACGCTAATGATCATGACATCCTATGGTAATCGCATGCAGCAGGATCGCCAGAATGAGGAGATGAACGATTCTTTTATGGGGTGGCTTGCTGGCTTGCTTGCATCGTGGGGCTTGTAGGTAATATGGCTAGAACATTTGGGGAACTCGTCTCCGGCAGCTGGACTCTCCGCTCTGGAAGTGCACAACGAAAGAAATGCACCTGAAAACGATGCTGGGATATCTCTGCTTCACCTCCATGACTGTGTGGAAGGCGAGTCTTGGAGAGTCGAGTGCGTTTTCTTCACTGAGTTTTTGGTGGGGAACAAAGGGGGGAGAGAGAGAGAGAGAGAGAGAGAGAGAGAGAGAGAGAGAGAGAGAGAGAGGGAGTTGGTTTGGAATCCACGTGTCTGGGTGGATTTTAAACAAGCTTGTTATTACTGTAAATAAAGGATTGGGGGAGTTCAGCGCATCAATCTCCTTTTTGAACTTGGGTGATGAATTTTGTGCGTTGCTAACAGGGTACGAATGTGTGTCGGCAAATCATCTTTGCCTAGCATGTCGGGTCTTGATCTGGTTCTGTATTACGACGAGGAACCATGCGTCCTTTCATCCGAGCATCGATCCATGGCTCTGTTCGTCGAGTTTAGTGTATCAGTTAACTTGCTAACCAGTTCTATGGGCGTTTATGTGCTATTTACTAATCCATTCAATCACTCTTTTGTCCAGTCATCCGCCGTTTTATGAATTCGCAAGTCCATCGGTCGATCTTGGCGGTTTCCCATACATGTATTTGCCGAGCGACGTCTGTGTGATTTTTGTATGTAGCCGATGAGTTTCTCACGTTATGCCTAACGCTCACATTTTTTGGGCTGTCAACCTAGCTCATGAGAAGCCAGACATGGTTTATGGATCGCCGTGTACGGCGTTTTTCGTGGAGTAAATTGTTTGACTTTAGCAGTAGGAAGTCTAGGTTTTACTACGGTAGTCCTTTTGAATCTGTGAAAGGTTTACAGGCGTGAGTTGGCTTGTGTAGGCTACAATATAATTTCACTACCGATACAACGCGAAAAACCTTGCCAGCCCTTGATTGAATGTGTCGAGTTCGCTAGTCTACCTGTTTTGGATGCCACGAGTTCGCTGTTTTCTCGGTCTTTTTTTTTTTTTTTTTCCCCTCTTTTTTTTCGTTTTCTTTTTTTTTCCTCGGTCATTTTGGCTTTTCCCGAAGAAGCGTTCGCTAGCTTAGCTTGTAACCCAGTTGTCTTCCTGCACACCTGGCAGACGCGCGCGCGTTTACACATATACAGCGACACAAACACACATGGGGAGAGAGAGAGAGAGAGAGAGAGAGAGAGAGAGAGAGAGAGAGAGAGAGAGAGAGAGAGAGAGAGAGGGCATCAATGAGCAGAACGGGCGTTGAAGCCGGCGGGAAACCGGGGGACTGAATATCGTCTTTATATCCTATTTATATGAAAGAAGTGCTTTGATTATTGTGGTTTGCCGTGAATATAATCTGCCTTGGCGGCGATGCCTCTAATGTACTCATTGATTGATCGTCTTTCACTCCTCTGAACGAGGAACACTTGGTTTCGGAGTACCTGAAGTCCAGGTACCTCTTTTTAATTTCCATTCTGACTGACTGATTCACTGATTGGTTTCCGCGGTGTTTGCCGCAGCTTTAATCTGATAACCCGGCCGATGTGGCAGCTGAACATCCCATCAGCAATCCTGATCAAGCTAAGCTCGGCTGGGATCGGTGGACATTTTCTTGTCGGCGATACGTATTCAGCTTTAACCTGATAACCCGGCCGATGTGGCAGCTGAACATCCCATCAGCAATCCTGATCAAATTAAGCTCGGCTGAGAGTGGTGGACATTTTCTTGTTGGCCTTACGTATTCAGAGATGGGAACGCAAATAAAAGAAAGACGGAAATGCAGTTAAAGAAAAGACGGGGATGCAAAGTTTTGCTGTGAAAGAACGGACGCGAACGCAATAGAAAAAGAAAGGAACGCGATTGAAAACAGACAATGCAATTGAAAAGAAGACAGAATGCAATTGAAAAAAGACAGAATGCAATTGAAAAGAAGACGGAATGCAATTGAAAAGAAGACGGGGATGCAATAGAAAAAGAAAGGAATGCAATTGAAAGAAGAGAGAATGCAATTGAAAAGAAGACGGGGTTGCGATTAAAAAGTAGGGAATTCAATAGTTCGCTGGATATGGGCGCATGCTGTTGGTGCCAGGCATCGATCTCTGACAATATAACGTAATTGTCGCCATCCAGGAGTCATGGATGGAATTCTGACAGAGAAGAGTTGAACAGCATCATGGGGAGGTTTTGTAGAAGTTGCAGAAGGTGGAAAACCCGTAGTAGTAAATATTAGGTACTAATAACGAAGTGAGGAGTAAGAGGAATACAACAAAAGCGAAGGAAAAAAACTGGCCACGTTGAGGAAATAAGGCGGAGACGAAGGAGGTGGAAGGTTGAATGTAGAATGATAAATGGACGACGAGTGAGAAAGGAACCAAGAAGATTATGAGATGCCAGGAGTACCCGGGGAGAAGAAAGAGGTCCTCACTGGTTGGCAATGAATTAACCTACAAGATGATAGAAGTGGAGCAACTCGTTGGCATGGCATCAATCAATTGGAATTTTCAAAACCTGATGTCGAACGGTGAGGATAGGGATGAATTAACCGGCCAATGAATTAACCCACAGCATCGTAGAAGTCGATCAGCCAACACTGATGGGGTGCACTACTGATGAGGATTGAAGCAGATTGAACAGAGGTGCTAGGACAGGGATGGGATGTGGTTCTTGCTTCATGCACATCCTCTTCTTTTAGCAGTGATGCTGAAGACGAATTGGTGTCGCAAAGGAGCAGTCTTCACCGTGTTTCGCTCCCGATCAGATTCTAGTGGTCTACCTGATGTGCATGTGTGCATGAACATGAGTCACTTCTTCGTCCAGGTACACGCACACACGGACACACGCATGCGCACAGCGTACACGTGTACATATGCTTGTGCACCCACTCAAAACTCAGGCGCTCACAGCGTACACGTGTACATATGCTTGTGCACCCACCCAAACTCACGCATGCAGGTGCACAGATGCACTGCACACATTCATACATACACAGCTATATGCACACAGTACGCACATGCAAAAACCTGATTACAGACATGCAAAAACCTGATTACAGACATGCAAAAACCTGATTACAGACATGCAAAAACCTGATTGCAGACATGCAAAAACCTGATTGCAGACATGCGTGCACAGTCACGCCCATAAAGTCCTTCTCCTTTTCCTTTAGTGGGTTGGATTCTTTCACATATGTGACCATACGCTCTCACTGAATCCTCTCTCTCCCTTATCCATTGTCATCTTCAGAGTGTGCTGTTGCGTGCTATCCAAAGAAGTATGGGAACCAGAGAAAAAAAACGTCCATTCGAATTGGGAATATACAGAGAAGATGCATGGCTTGGGTGCAAGGGCGGCGCACTAAAGAAACTGTCTTGTCATTCCACAGCGTTTGGACTCTGAACAGACTTGCTGATTGTGTCAAAAGCTGGTGAGCCAGTTTGCTAAGGGAAACTCCGTCTTTTTCGAATATGGTGTAACCTTATTTATTGGTTGCGCTTTCGGTTGAACTCTGATCACTGTGTTCTTGGCAAACCGTTTCTTTTGTTGGAGGTCAGTTGACATTAGAGTTTGGAACAGGAGTGTGGCGTGGAACTTAATACCGAGTGATATAGCAGTTCCGAGTCGCTTTGTAAGTCACAGTGAAGGAAGCTGAGCAACTGATGTTTGTCGGTGTGCCTTGGACTTGTCTGTGATCAATCACTGCAGTTGAATCCATCGTACAGGCCAAGCAAAGCCAAGGCTCCTCCTGTTGGCGGTCTTCATGTTCCGCCTTTTGCAGGCTCTGATCTGATCCTCTCTCCTTCACAATGGTCCAGCCATGTAGTCGGTGAGTGATTATCTCCATGTCAGTGTTTTTCCTCGGTGCCAGCATTTTGTGCAATAGTCGACTGTGGACTGGTTATTAAATTGAAAGAAGACAGATGGCACTTTGGAGCTTGCACATTTTTCACAGAATATCCTTTCTACCTAGATCCTGCATCATGCCATGCTCATGGGGGTCATCCTGGCTGTGTGTGTGTGTGTGTGAGAGAGAGAGAGAGAGAGAGAGAGAGAGAGAGAGAGAGGATCTGTAGGCAGTTCCTTCAGTGTGTGTGTGTGTGTGAAAGAGAGCAGGGATTCAATGTAGTAGCATGGATTCTGGGATTGTCAAGCTGTGATTGTGCTCCATTTAATCTAATCTACTTCTGTGCTGTCGTGAAATCTGGTGGCTTGGAACATTGAAGGGAAGCTGAGCACATGGATCGATCTCGACTCGGAGAATGACATTTTGGCATCGGATAGCGAAATTACTTTGAAGCAAGAGCTCAGCTGGGCAAGTCATTTGTCTTTACAGGTACTTTCGCTTGCAGGGCATTTCCATTTCTTTTTTCGTTCTTCACAGCTCCTGTCTATCGATATGAGTGCCCTCATTTGCTGCATTTTATTTGTTGGCAATAGTCTCAACAGCTTCAGCATTTGCTCTTTCCTTTTTTTTCCCACCTGTGTTTCGGTCATGTTTTAATGGTTTAAGTTTTTTAACTGGAGAGATTCTCAAGGAAATTGCCAATTTCAGTTTTTTACTGTCTTTTTCTATGCGTGAGCTGGGCAGGTGACTGCCAGAATTGTATTTATGTATGTACGTTCGTATGCGTGTACCTCAGCAGACACTGTGTTTATGGTGACGAAATACTGTCAATTTGATTTCTTGTTTTGTTCCCGTGCCCCCCCGTCCCCCCTGGTCCCCAAAGCCCCCTTTTCGTCTACTTTCTTTCTCAATGTAGTGCAATCTGATATTTGTCTGTGTGTGCTTCTTTGTCAGTTTTGCTAGTTTTTGTTTTTGAATCCTTGATTCCTTGGTGTAATACCCTGCTGCTTCGTGCAGAGCTCACGTGTTGTGAATGATTGTGGGACTAGAGATGGTACAGGCTTGTGAGGGTAGTGATGTGATTGAGTCCTAAATGAATTGGAAGTGGAATGAATGGCTGTTTTGTCAGTTTTTCAGACATCTAATTTGGAAATGAATTGGTGCTGTACTTCAGGCTTGTCTTTTGCCAACGCCACCTTCAGGAGAGTGTGCAAATTACGCGAGATGTGTCAACCAGGCCCTTGAAGGGCTTTCAAGTATGCAGGTTGCGTTCCTTGACCATTTACCTTCCTTATGTCGTCTTCGTGTGCTGTGCTGTATGCATTTTGTGTGTGCCATGTGTGTGTATAAACACCTTTTGTGTTTGTGCATTGTAGACTGTCACTGGAAGAACCCTTTCTTTTGTGTTTGTGTGGGTATGTGTGTGAATATGCATTTTGTGTGTGTCATGTGCGTGTGTATAAACACCTTCCACCGTGTGTGTGTGTGTGTGTGTGGGTTTGCGCACGTGTGCATTGCAGACTGTCACTGTAACAACCCTTCTTTTGTGTTTGTGTGTGTGTGTGTGTGAACCTAAAACCCATGCCTTTCGAGTACGGAAGGGTGTGATATGACCCGTTTGCCTGCCCTTTTTTAACCTTTTTTTTTGTGTATGTGGGGTGTGTGCACGCGCTTGCCTGTAACCCTGAACATCATGGTGTGTCTCATTCCCAGTATGTACAATGAGGTTTGGCATTGCTGTTTCCATTGGTGGTGGTGTATTTAATGATAGCCCGACTGGTGTGTCTCTATTCAGAGTTGGAGGCACAGGAGCTTCTTTTCAGAAGCTCAACCGGTCAGCTTGGTCAGCAGGGCTCCATTGGACAACCTCGAGGAATCCAAAGAAACTTCAACCGCCCTACTCTTCCCTCATTTCCCAAAGGATGAGGATATTTGAACTGAAGTCTTATCCAATGCTTTTGGGCCATGCCGATGAGTTTCGGTATTCAAATGTTGTTTATTTGTATGCTGCCTGCCATTTGTGAATATGTACCGCAAGACTGGAAATGTTGACGACTTTGAACTTTCTTCATGTGAACGATGTGATAGGCTTGGGTGAGCAACAGTAGGTCAAGATCTGCCATGACCTGCTGGTTGAATTTTTTTCCTTCTTCAAATGTGCGTGTGCGACGGCATGGTAATTAGTGATGCTCGGCAATAAGGAATGTGTCTTTTCTTGCTTATGATGTTAGTATGGAAAATAGTAGAGTATCATATTATTACTACTATTGGGTATGGATTGCCAATGAGGGAAAGGTAGAGACAAGGAAACGATGTCGATGATGGTGGGAATGCGGGGGGGAAAATTGAAAATATGAGTTTTTTGGGCCACGTATCTGCTGACATTGTGAATCGAATGTCTGTACAGATGCACATGAAGTTCCAACAAGGGATTGACTTCCCCACTCTTGTTCCTGTGCGCTGCTTTTGTGTTGTTATGAACAGCTGTGGCTGCGAATGCCTCTGACTTGCAACGAAGTAGAAGATGTAGAGTCGACTCAGGATGAAGATGCTGCCTGTGTAAGTTCTTTAATGCAGAGAGGTTTTGCTGTATCCAGAGAGGGGGTGCTGGGTGGAGGAGGGGGTGATTCATTCTCGTGCAATGGTTACAATTTTTTCTTTCTTTCAGAAAGGGGGTAGACCCTAAGATTATTGTTTCTGACTGATTTAGTCAGGATTGAACTCCTGATCTGTTCAAAGACATTTATCTGTGTACCATTCAGCAGCAAGTGCAGAGTACATTGGTTATGTTCTGGTTTGTGTGCATGTTCTGGCAAACACTTAGGTTTTGTGTGGATGTCATCCAAAGCTCTGGGGCGGTCTGCACACCAATTGTACTGATAATTGAGTTGCAGAGGTCATCCAAAGCTGTGGGGCTGTCTGCACACCAATTGTGACTGACAATTGAGTTGCAGAAAACGGTGATGTACATGCTCGCCGTCCTATGTTGGGTTACTTGGAATGAGTTGAGGTGGAATTGCTACTGATTGTCTGGCTATGCATTGCAAATTTCCTCATCGGTACCACTCATAGTGGAGTTGTACGTGCCAACATTTGACTCCTGTCTTGGAAGGAAAGTGTCAGCGAAGAACTGGATTGATCCCTATAGCCAGAATGCAAGGGTCTGCCATACAGATGCACCATTTGCACTTTTTGTTTTTCCTGGTTCCTTTTTGAGAAAACAACTCAGTCAACCACGGATTAAAATTGGGGGTCATGTTTGCTGCATTGCTGCTATGGTCGGATCTCCTGATCAGAGTGTTGAGAGGTGTGTGTAAGAAGCCATGGACATTTGTGCTGATATGGTATAGGACGCTTCTGAATGCATAGTTTGTGTGCCAGAAGCCATGGACATTTGTGCGGTGCGTGGTGGTTTTACTCGGTCAGAAATCATATGGGTTTGGAAACCATAGATGATGGACCTTTGGAATTTGACACTCCCAGGAATATGGCAATGCGGTGCTGTTAGCAATCTCTAACCTTCACACAATGCTTGTGCTGGCCTTCTCACCACTGGGTATTTTAACTGGCTCTGCACTGTGGATTGGAGTTAGGGATGATGGTGTGAACACTGCTATTCTGTGCCTGAATGAAATGTGTGTGTGTGTGTGTGTGTGTGTGTGTGTGTGTGTGTGTGTGTGTGTGTGTGTGTGTGTGTGTGTGTGTGTGACGTTGGCTATACAAGATTTTGGTTATCACATACTTCCGTGTTGTGTTTTTGGGCTATTTGTGAATGTTGAAGCCCCCACTTCTGCATGGGGGTATTTGTGCAGACTTTTCGTGAACATGTAGGGAAGGACAGGTGTTTTCTTTTTTTCTTTTTTGTCAATTCTTTGTAGTACCAGAGGGGATGGGTATGTCTATTTCATTTCCAATCTAGGTTGATGCTGGTGCATGGGTTTATGAATGCTGATGTGGTGGTGGTGCGGAATCCTCATTTGTCCATGCTATTTATGGATTGAGCAGAAGGTGAATTCGACGCAAATTATCAAGGAGGACTCTTGGGAGTGCTGGAACACGTTCCGTATGCTGTCTGAGCACCACAGCCAGTTGTCTGTTGCATTGGACATCACGTAAGGATATGCTGCCAGAAAACATAACTTGCTGTGCCTGATTGCCCTTGGTTCCCTTGTTTATGGTCATAGATATGGTTGTTTAATCATGTAATCATCGGGCGTTTCTTTCTATCCTATTGAAATAAAATTCTGACTGATGCAGAGCATTCCCTATTAGTTTGAAAAGAAATTAATTCAGTCACAGAAGTGATGGTTACCACATCATCCAATGAAAAGATCCGCTTCACAGTAAGCTGACGGAAAAGTGCTGCGTCTTTTGTGTTGGAATCTGGATAAGACAAGTGTTTCCCACTGGGAATAAAGCATGAATGCCGTAAGCGGCCTATCAGAGATTAGGATGCGTGGAAGGTGTCGTGTGCTGGAAAGAAAGGACTTTGGTCTCGGTGGTGTTGTTTCTGGAGGGCAGCCAAATGACTCCGTTGCGTCATGACGAAGTCCATTGATACAGAAGCGCAGATTAAGTGTGTTGTTCATTGTTGTTAGAGCATATTCACACTGAATAATGTGCTGATAGTTTTTGTTCAAGGTATTGTACTTCTTATTTTCTTTCCTCGTTTTGGCCGTGTTTGTTAGGCCTTGAAAGTATTTTGCCGTAAAAGAAACTAGTGTGATATACAAAGTATTTATCTCTGCTACTGCCTTCCACTTGTGTTCTTTCTGTTTTTCCTCGTCTTCTATTTCTTTTCTTTGCTAATTGTGCTTGTTATGTCTTTTCAAATCTGCTTTGCAAGCACGCTCTCAGTGAACAGTAATGACAGTGTATTGTATGTTTTCCTCACTGCACGTATGCAGGCCCCCCCCCCCCCCCCCCCCCCCCCCCC